TCACCCCGTAAGGGACAGACATCTGTCCTTGGACACTGCTTTTGCAGGGGAGGTGTGACACTTCAGGCACCTGGGAGAGCAGCCCCTTGTGTGCACCCAGCCCTGGCCTTGGCATTAGGTCCCTTGTGGACATCTCTGATTCTCTGAGTAGCATGAAGGCTGCTGCACACTCCAGGGGTTCAACACCACTATTAGCCATGAAATGGGAATGTCTGCCTGGGGTGTCCTCCTCCAGCACAGTCGCTTCCACTAAACTCAAATCTAAACTCCTTCCAGCCAGCCTTCTTGTTTCCCAAGAAAATGGAAGTAAGCAGAATACCCACAGCCTCCCAGGAAATTGAGGTTTGACTTTTGAAACAAAGCAAAATGTGGCAGCTCTGGCCAGAAATATCAAAGTTGCTACTGTCAACAGAACAAGAAAAAGGCCACCAGGTCTGGGAGCCCACTGTGGGATTTCTAAATAAGGGAAAGGAGAGACAGGCTCACCACCAGCCTCCCGAGTGAGGTTCACAAATGCCTCCCTGAGCCTGTGGAAGGGGCCAGGTGGCTCTGGCCACCTCACACTGCTATCGCATGGGAGGAGAAGGCACATGGGGTGGATCTCCATGGACCAGGCAGTTTCCCAGGTGGAAGAAGCTTCTGGCTCTGGACTCCCCAACCTGCTGCAGCCCTCCTACAGCACTGATCAGGGTAGGGTCCAGGGGGATAGGCCAGGGGCTCATGTCTTGGGCTTCCTTGTTCCCTCATCCTCTCTACTTTTTCCTGTCATCTGAGTACTTGCCCCATGCAGAGGACCCCCAGTCAGTTGGGGAAATTCCTTAGGGGCCAGCAGAACCCACGATGGGGCGAGATTTCAAGCCTAGTCATTCCGAGGGCGCTCTCTGCAGAGGCAAGCTTCTTTTCCAGCAAGCACAGCAGTAAAAAGCAGAGGCAAGAAGCCTCATGCATGATTTAGGCCTTTATCCATAATTAAGACTTCTTCCCCCAAAGAAAGCATCTAGATTGGAGGTCCCGGGCAGAGGAGGAGGGCCAAGGCAAGAGGGCACTGGAAAGGACAGAGGCATTTGGCCCCAGCACACCCTTCACCTCATTTATCCTCCTACCAGCCCTTGAAGGGAGGGTACTGGCCTCATTTTCTAAACCAGGAAGGCAAGCAAGGCTTGAGCCAGCGCTCTGATCCTGGACCTTCTTGGACTCAAGGTCGAAGGGATGAGGACAGGGTCCCATCCTAGTCATCCCAATAAGACCTGATGAGTCTGGCAGCCAGTGAGGGACCCTGGCATCTCAAAGGCCCCCTAGAGACACCCAGGGAAGGGACTCCAGATTGAGCAGCACCCCCAAAGAGAGTGTCAGAGGCTGGACTTCAGCCAGCCCCCCTCCCTATCTTTCAGCTGGGACATGCTCTTTGAGACTGTTACCAGGGCACTTAGGTGTTAGGGGTGGTGGAGGGAACAGTCCCAGCACCAGTAGTGAAAATGGGGGGGCTGTGCCACCACCCCCTCCTGGAAAGACTCCGCCCACAGTGACCACGGTCCCTCCAGGGTTGTGGCACATTCCCCAGCTCTGTCAGCCCTCACTGGGCTGCGAGCTCCTGGAGTAAGGGTGGTGGTGATGAAGGCATGATAAGGACACCCGGCAGCACTTAGGAACAGCTCCTGAGTCGGGCAATATTCGAGGAGCCTTACGAGTATTAATCCAGCCATAACTCACACGCCTATGCAGCAGTTTCTATTATTAGCCCATCTTAGAACTGAGGGAGTTGAGGCCAAAGGGCCTAAGGACCTGCCAGGAAGCGAAGAAGTGAGAATTCACAGAGCTGAGCCCTCTTCTGTTAGGTGGTCCCCCCTTTCTATCTGCCCGGTGTCTGCAGTGGCGGGTGCTCTTCCCTGCCATCATCATCCTCAACAACAACCTGGGGCCACACTGTGGCAGCAGCAGGTCAACCAGCCCCTAGAGTGCCCTACCAGTGGCTTCTGGGGAGATAGGATGGAGGAAATAAAGAGAGGGAGAAAGGAGGCTGTAGCTGCACACCTAAACACCCCGCGAGCAGACCTACTCCCAGACCTGTTTTTCCTCCCAAATTCCTGGGAAATCTACCAATCTTAGAGGTACTGAAAATTCATGCAACTATGAAAATTACCTTATTTTGACTATAGGTAGCAATTGTTAGCCTATGCAATGTATCTTCAGATTAGGTAAAACAAGAAATGTATTTTAAGAAACCTTTAATACAGGTACATTCTAAACATTACTGATCAAGTAGGGGAGACAGGGTCAACCTGAAGATCCCAGAGAAGATCTGTGGTCCACAATCAAAAAGTAGCATTCGCCGGGGAGTCCCAGCACACATACCCTCCCCTGCACAGCCTCACAAGGTTTCCTTTCAAAGAAGAACCCGAAGCCCCCAAAGCGCGTCTCTCTCTGGAACGCCCACACTGTGTCTTTCTCTGAATGCACACTGCCCAGTTGATTTCTTTCATAGAACAAATTTAGCAATGCTTTATTTTCTGATGTGCCCTGAAATTCTTTCCTGTGGCAAATTCTTCCCTGGGGCCCAGTTGAGTCCCCTTCTCCCCATTGTAGGGACTTCCTCAGAACCCCTCTGGTGACACTTGGACTTGGATGCTTATCTCTCCCTACCAAGAGATTCACATATCTACAACCAGTGCAGTGCTTTCTCTTCTAAATGCTCCTAAAGCTGCAGAGAGGCCCCGATGGTTACTCCCCTACATCAGGTGCTGAAGATCCACAGGAGCTGTGCCACATGCTTCCCCTCATCCTTTCATTCACCCACAAAGTTACCCACTCGTGGAGCATGGCTGCAGCCCCATTTCCACCAATGAGGCTCAAGAAGTGAGGAGAGCTATCCAGGCTCACAGAGCCAGCAAGACGGCAAGCTGGGCGTTGATCCATGATCTCTCCAGCCCCAGAACCTGAATAGTTGGTCACAAAGTGCTCTGCCTCTCCAACTTTCCTCTGGCAGCCTCCAGAAGCAGATCACAGGACAGATCACAAGACTTCAGGGGGCAGAGCTGCAGAGGACCTGGGCTCCCAGTTCTGGGCTAGTCCCCCTGTCCTGCATTGATTCTCTCACTCAGTCGTCCAAGTAACACTGACTATGCCCTTGTGAGGTTCCATGCCTGTCCTCAGAGAACCACAGAAACCATGACCCTTCCTGCTCCCCCAGGGTAGGCTGGGAATGGAGAGCACTTGTGGGCTGGGAGGTCAGGCTGTATTGTACATCTGTAGCTTCTTCCCAAGGTCACCTGGCAGGCACACCCTGACTTTCCTTTATCGAACAATATCGCTCCCATTCCAGGTGTTGGGTGGCCAAAGTCAGGTGTGGAAGGGGTAGAGGATGAGCGCTTGACCATGTCCAGCCAATCTGAAATTTGCCTCAACAAATGCAATTCTTTGCATAAACTGGGAAAACAGCAATCATCATTAAAATGTTTAATAGATGTTGAGAAGTCATTTGGTACAATATACCATCTGCTCTTCAGTAAGACTAAAAAAAGGAGAAGGGACATGGAAGGGAGGTCTTTTTAACATGCTAAAGGATATAACTCTAACTCAAGTAGCAACATGCTACTTAACGGTGGTAAGCTATAGTCACCCTGTTTTAAAAAATAAGGAGAAAAGTATGATGGGGTCCTGCCTGTGCCAGCCCCCACCAACCTGTCCAAGACCACAGCAGAGGGTGGGGACTGTCTGGGCTTCACCAGCAACTTATGACTACCCAAGGTCAGCTCTAGCCATCTGTGTACATTCTGTCCGTTCTCTTTGCTTTGCTGCTTCTGACCACCTCCCCTGACCCCACAGCCAGACACTGGACACCTCTTGCCAGACCCTTTCCCTCTACACCTGACCCCTTCCCACAGCAACACCAGCGTTCGACCACTCCAGGGTCCATCCTCCTTGGGGATAGCCTTCAGGGCAGCTGTGGCCAGGCACCTGCCCAGCCTGTTTTCCTGACTCACAATGGTGCCATGTGGCCAAGGTCCCAGCATGCCACCCCCCTACCCTGGCCACGTCAGGACAGATGTCTCCTGTGCCCACCCCTTTTATCCAGTTCTAGAAACACTGGTGGCTCCCATCGCAGAAGGAAAAGCAACTGGACTCAGAAACATGAGAAAGAAGGCATAACAAAGCAATTACCTCTGAACAGAATGTTACTGCTGACGAGAAAATCCAAAGAAATCAACCAGAAAATTACTGGAAGTAATAAATGAGTTCACACTAGTGGTGAAAAAGGAGATAAATTTACAAAAATCAATTGCATTCCTATATGCTAGTGACAAGCAGCTAGAAAGAAAAAAAAAAAAGTCAATGGGAAAAGAGGACTTTATCCTTATAGAAACAAAATACATTAAATATTAAGCATTAATTTAGCTCAGTTTATTTTTTTTAATTTTTAAAAAGTTTATGACAGGGGAATGTTTATTTGAAAACTATCTTCTGTGTTAAACTGATCTTAGAAAACTAGAGTACGGCCACTGGTGGATGTGGTTTGTTTGGGGCCTGTAGAGTTCCCAGAGCACTATTTGAAGGCCACTTATCCAGTAGGTTGGCACTTATTATGAAAAGTTCAGAGGGTGCCATGCTTAAGGCTCTGGCTTTGGGTTTGAAGGAGCAAAGTGGGATTGAGCAGTCTCATTTCTGAGTTGTTCAGTCTAGGGAAGGCAGCAGACTCCAGGCACTGGGGCTCTGGTCTCTGTCTAGTGTACCACCTGCCTCATTTCACCCTCTGACCAGCAGCCATGGCCTGTCCCACTCATGGGGTAAAAAACTTATCTTTACCTCTAATAATTGAGTGTAATCTTTAAAGATATGGGTTACAAAGTTGAAAGCTGTGGCATCACTTTCTCTTTTTTTTTCCCCTTATAAAAGGTATCATCTGGTGCATTCCTGTATCGACAAAGATTGTTCAAGTTCAGATCCTGATATAGGACCAACAACAGGTCTGTACACTGACCCAAAGCAGGGGCTTAGGGGATGGTTTACAGTGGAATCATCAAACAGATGTCCTTCTCATAGATGTCAGGGATCATTCCCACTGGGGAGCTGGCCATGTATATAGTATTCTGGCCAAACAGCTGGAACTCATAATGGATGAGTTGCTCCCCAAAGCCAGTGTTGGGTCGGATGATGGGCCGGCATGACTTGGTCCATGTATGGGCATCCAGCAGGGACATGGCATGGTACTTCATGAGGTAGGCAAGGCACAAAGTGGCTGAGCGGCTCATGCCAGCAGCACAGTGTAGCAATATACAGCCCTGCTTCATTTCCACACTGTGGTTGTGGTCAGCAATGGGGTCAAAGAAGTCATAGAGCTTCGAGATGGGTGCATCAGCCACAGGCACCTGTGTATACTGGATATCCTCACAGAAGGTATTTACCACCTCTACCGAGACACTGCTGACTGAAGTGATCTGGTTGCTGGCCAGCAAGAGCTTGCTGTTGGCAGCCACACCATTGCTGATGTACAGGCTTCTGGTGATCTGGGAGAGGCCGCTGACTGAGGGCTCCTGGAACTGAACTGGGAAGGTGCACAGGGGTGCTGTCATCAAGGCGATGGGTCAGTAGTTGGTGACACATGAAGGCCTGCATTTTTCTGCTAAGCTGTGTCCCTAAACTCTCTCCAGTAGGAGTATGAGGGGGTTCATTGATGAAAAAGTGGCACCAATTATCCCCAGCCAAAGGTCTCAAGGAGAGAGACCAGTTTCGATGCACGGACCACAGTCTCCACGGGCCCAGCAATCTGGTTTCCATAAAAATGGTTTTTCCTTGAGGAGAGGAGTCGGCTGCTCAGGTCTCAGAGAAATCTCGGCTTCCATTCTGGGCTCCGACTTAACCAATTACCAGCTTCGAAATCACTCCAGTTTATTTTTAATGTTAATATTTTGCTCCTGTTGGGAGGACTAAATATGCAGTCAAGAAGACAACACTGTCTAAGTTAGTGCAATGCTAATTAAAGCTTCTGAAACATGTTATATACTTAAAAATCCATATATGGTGGGGAAAATCAGAGAGCTCTTTTAAAGGGCAATGATGGACTGCAGCAGGGGCTCAGTGGTACAGCATTTGCCTAGCAAAGGCCCTGGGCACCATCCCCGGCACCAAAATAAATAAATTATAGCAAGTAATAATGATCAAAATGTTATCATGCTGCATTAGAACAAAACAAACCTCTGAGCATCAGAAAGAATAATGGAATGAATTAAAACCCATTGGAAAAAGAATCCATGAGTTCCTAGTCAGACTCAGGAAAAGGAGGTTGGAGACTTGGGGCATAGCTCAGTGGTATAGCACAGGCTTAGTATGCACCAAGTCCTAGTTCAATCCCAACACGCCCACACACTCGCACAGTAAGGAGCAACATGAAAACAATGCAAAGCTGCATTAGTAATCCAAACTGAAAATTTAAACAAGTTTGAGATACCATTACACATCTATTGAACTGGCAGAAACAAACTGAAAATACTACTCAGTGTCCATGGGGATGTGGAAAAACAGGGACCTGCATGCCTTGGGCAGGGTTTGCTATAAGAGAGGAGGAGACAGAGAAGGCAGGAGAGACAAAGAACCATCCAGATGGCACCAGAAAAGGGTGGCCAGACGCCCAAATGCCAATGCCTCTGGCCAGATGAGGGGACCAACAGGCCCTTGATCCCACCCACTTAGTGCCTAGGAGATGGCAGCAGGTGTCTCCTGGCTGTGCCCACTTGGGGTCAGGAGCTCTGGACACCCATAGCAGACAGAGGCTGGTCCTCTGGCTGGCAGCCGAGCACCCACACTGGTGGAAGCAGAGCCCAAGGGACAGTCAGTGGGACTGAGGGAGGTCCAGCCTAGCACAGGCTACCCAAGACTCACCCTGTGGGTCCCCAACCCTGGCTTCAGACAACCCTTCTGGAGGTCACTGTCTGCAGAGCACTGTGGGGGCTCCACTCTGCCTGCTCTGCAGAGGTCATTGAGGAGCCTGGGTTGACCAGCTGGCCCATGGACCCAGCCATGTGGGCCAGGTTCAGTGATAAGACAGAGAAGGCAGACATTTGCAAAGCAAATGAAACACTGTGTAGACACGGATGGTGACTTATGAGAGGACCAATCCTGTGGCTAGGGTGTGGGCACAGGAAATGGCATCAGGTGGAAAGGGGCCAACAGTTCACACTCACTGATCATCATCATATGCAGGTGATAGCCAAGGTCAGGACAGGGTTTTAGACTATAGAAATCCAGTTCAGGGCTAGTTAGCTCTTTTTTTCCTATAAAGTAGTTTAAATTTGTACATCAATAGTAACACTGTGAAGTTTGTTTTAAAATGAAGCACAGTTGCCCTCGGAAGGATTTATGGGTAAGGGCAGGCCTCCTAGTTTCGTTGGCTCTGCAGGTGTGTAGACATTTTAAAGCCAGCGGTCACGGTGTACTGAGCTCAGGCCCCATCACCCAGTCACCCAGGCGGGAATCACAGGGAGCTCGTGGGAAGTTCTGTGAACCACCAGGAATTGCCCCTTCTCTCCATCCTCAGAGTCCCTGCTCCCTGCCTCTGAACTGGGGCAGGGCCCCCACCTCAGCCTCCTCACTTCCTCATTCTCGTTCCAGGCTACTTACAGATGGGCTCCTCTGAAACCCAAGGGACCCTCTGCTTCACCTCCTTAATACCTTGGGGGTCGAATCCAGCCCAGCCCTCTCCACCTGGCTTCTGCCTGCCAAGCCAGCCCCTCTCTTTCTCACCTACCTTCCCTTCCTCCAGAGGGCCTCTGCCTCTTAGGTCTCTCCTCTTGCATACCCATCCTGCCCTTCCAGCCCTGTGGGCCCTGCTCCAGACTCAGCCCCAGCATCACCTGTGGACAGGCTTTCCCAAGGTGAAGCAGAGTGATCCGAGCAGAATAGATCTCCTGTTTTGTCCCCAAGCACTCCGGCCCTGTGCTTCTCACAGGTGTGCTGCCAAGATTTCTACCCTAGAGGAGAAGGGTGTTTTGCAGAGGCTGGGAGTGGGCCATGAAGGGGTTTTGTTGGTCCAAGCTACAAAGTGCCAGTAAGAGGAATAAGTTCTGGTGATCTATTACCCAGCAAGGTGACTATAGTTAGTGATTATGTATCATCTATTTCACAATTGTTAAAAGAGTGGATTTTATACGTTCTCACCAAAAAAGAAGTATGTGATGGACACGTTAATTAGCCTAATGTGTTCATTCCACAATACCTAAAAGTACTGAGGCATCACATGGTACAATATATACAATTACTATTTGTCAATAAAAATAAAATTTAAAAAAAGATTTCTATTGTAGTCCACCTGCCCCACAGTAAGGCGCTCCCTTGGGAGAAAAATCCTATCTTATTCATCTGTACATCCTTCAACCCCAAATATATCACAGAACAGGAGCTCACAAAAGTCTGTGAGGGAGTGGAAATGGACAGTTCACTCAGAAAACCAGAATTAGTGCTCACAGTCACATTAACTTGCATGTCAGGCATCATGGTAAGGGTTTAACACATATAACTAACATTATCCCCACTTTATAGATGAGGACACTGAGGGACAGAGAAGTTAAGCAACTTCTCAGAGTCACAGAGCAAGTTAAGTTGTGGTTCTGGGTCTCAAACCCGATGTTGCTTATGCCAAAACCTCAGCTCTATATGTTAGAACCAGTGTGGGCTGAACTGAGGTGCTGGAAAAGGAGGTGGCAAGGAATAGGGGACAGAGAGGAAGAGGGGGTCAGGGCCCTCTGAAAACTCAGGGCCTTTGTGGCTGGAATAATCTGCAGTTCATGCCAAGGAAGATGGAGGAGCTGGAGAATGTGATCAAGGTGCCGCTGGACTGACCTAGTAGAGACAGAATCAGCCTGCCCAGGCCCCTGCCACACACAGTCCAGGCCTGCAAATTACAGCGGTGTCTGGCAGGAAATCTGAGCAGCCAGAGAAATTAGTGCCTCCTGGGCCTACTTAATCACCACCTGAACAGGAAGTGGGGAGATGCATCTTGCAGGGTGCAATTAGCTGGCAGCCTCCCTCCTCTCACCTCAGGTCCTATTGGCCCCTGACGCCATCCACAGAGGCCAACTTCCTTTCTCCCCAGCCCTACAGATCAGGAACCTACTTATTCTCTGACCTGGCCCCCAACCCAGACCATCCCAGGCCCAGAAAGCCAGATGAAGCCTCTGCTGTGCGGGTTCTTCTCCCCTCCTGACCTCCTAAGAGCCTGGGACCCCCACTTGCAGGCAGCTTAGAAGGCAACTTTAGAACCAGACAGGCCTCGGGCTGGGGTTGTAGTTCAGTGGTAGAACACTTGCCTACCACGTGAGGCACTGGGTTCAATCCTCAGCGCTGCATTCATAAATCAATAAATGGGATATAGGTATTGTTTCCATCTACCAAAAATAAATAAATAAATAAATCCAGACAGGCCTGTGCTCAAATCCTAGCTCCTCCACTTCCTGGAGGATCCTGCCCAAGTCACTTCACCTCCTGCTGCTGGAGGTGAAGGGATAAGGAACACAAAGGTGACCAGCAAGCCGCAGGACTGGCTCCTTGCTTCCCTTATCCTTTCTGCCTATGTGGCTTTAGGAGGAACTCTGGCCATTGCACATGGGAGTCCTGTGCCTGAAAGGAGCAGGCGGAGGAAAGTACTGAGGGCAGCAGGGATGCCTGCAGTCCCGGGGCAGGTGGCCTACAGGAACCATGCAGGAGGCCCCATGCTAGGTCTCTCAGGGATTCTTATCTCCAGTCCTCTAAACAGTCCCACAAATAAGGGTTAATGATCTCCATTTTCTAGACAAGCAAACCAAGGTCCAGCCATCATAATAAGCACCTTCAAAAATAACCCAGCTTCTCACTCTTTCAGGAAGGCCTCAGTCCTTGGCAGAACCCATGGCTTGTATGGGAAGTGAGAAATCATAAAAATAGGGCAGGCTTGTACTGGAGTGCTGCTGTCCTTCCAAAATTCTCCTGAGTCAGACAGTTCTAGCTCCTGACGCCTCCCAAAGGTCACCATCTGGCCCTTGTTCCAGCCTGAGTTCTCACCCTCCTGCCTTTCATGTGCTTTCCCCACATTGAGCCACTTGTCCCTCCTTGAAAAGGCCAGACCTGTTCTTAAGTCTGTGCTTAGGCTTCATGCATGGCAGGCAGTAAGTGATGGTCAGATGGAAACTGGAAGAATGGACAGATGGGAGGCTGGTGGAAAGGTGGGTGAACATGAGGATGGGAACAAGTGGAAGAGAAGACTGTCAACGGATGGGTGGGTGGTCAGGTGGCTGGGTGGCTGGATAGATCAACAGGTAGACGGCTGGATCTATGGTTGGGGAGGATAAGAAGTGGGTAGATGGATGGATAAGTGGTTGTATAAACGGATGCATTGGGAGTAGGCAGGTAGATGGTCAGCTGGGTGGGTAGAGGGCAGGATGAGCAGATGGTACACTAAGAGACAGACCTCAGCTCACTATATAAAAGAGAACTCCACCAGAGCCTGGTCAGTGCAGAATGGGGTTGCCTTGGGAATGGTGCAAGCACTGAATAATACAAGCACCGAACGGAAAGTCCCATTTGGTGACCTCTACTCCCCTTT